TCAGTGTGTCAGCTGCACCCATCAGATCCTGGTCCAGTGGCCCAGGATGTCACTCCTGGGGACAGCTGGCAGCCTATGGTAAGGATCTTGTCCACCTGTGCTACCCACAGCCACCTGGAAAACAGCTGCCCAGCATCCAGGTGTGAACCAGGGAGCTCCACAGGACTCCCTAGGAGCCTCTTGGCCCCGGGCACTAAGGGACCTCTGAGCCCTGGGCCTGTCAGTGCCACATTCCTGTGCAAGACAGGAGAGGAACAGCACCAGGCAGGGCTCAGTGATGCCCCACATCCCCCACAGTGCCAAGGGCAGGCAGGACTACCCAAGGGACAGGTAGGACTGGCAACATGTGCTACTTCACCACTATGCTCCTGGTGCTTAGCTATCCCTTCTGAATGTGGTGAACCGGAAAACAAAGGATGAGGAATCAGGGAAGACAGGCAAGGAGCAGGACAGACCCCACTCGGCTCCAGGGAAGTAGTGCCTGCCAGCCCCCAAAACCGTACCTTAGCCCCACAGTCTGCTCCCTTCTCCAAGCAGAACCCAATGAACCTGGGGTCAGCCACCTTCACCAGGATGTTGTCCACGCAGTACACGTGGACACTCTGCACACCCCTCCGCTCCATGTCCTCCACGATGCCGTGTGCCCCCAGGGCTCGGTACAGGCCCCCATTGCCATCTGCAAAGAGAACAAACTATTGGGGCTGCAGCAACATCCAGCAGTCCCATCAGCCACCCACGCTCATCCTCCTTCCCCACGGAGATGGTGTGGAGGGTCGTCAGCCCAGCCATACCCCACCCTGGTCCTCCCTGCCAAGACAGACACCTCTCAGCCTGCATCACCCGTCAGCCACGTCACACTGCAAGACTCCAGCTCCAAAAGCTTGTCCTCAGCACCACATCTCGCCCCTGTGGACCCCTCCCATCAGCTCCCACCACTAACCTGGTGCCATAGCAATCTTGCCCTTCTCCTCCAACAGGATTTTCCCATCGAACCCCAGGGCAGGCAGCATGCCCTGCTGGAAGAAGATGATGTTTTCCTTCTTCAAGCCAAAATAACAATGCTTCTGGAAGAATTCCTTGGTGGACTCCATAGTGCGGCCACTTGTCATGATGTACCTGTTGCAGAGCAGGAGACCCCCAGTGAGCAGGGAGGAGAGGCAGGGTCTCACACCCCTCATCCCAAATGTAGGGAACAGCCCTCTCCACGTTTAGGAGGGTCTGACCTGCTGTCAGATGGTGGCTTGCCACCACTTTGGCAAGCCAATGAAGAGCTTCACTCTTCCTTGCAACATGTATCTCCAAAACCATAAAACACCCTGCACAGTGCAGGGGACACCCGCAGCAGCTTCTTCCTTGACACCAACCTCCTGCTCACAGCACCACAGCTGCCCCTTGCTGCCTAGACCCCTGCTTTGCATGGCTGCTGTCCCATATGGGGACATGACAGACCTTCCCAAGGGCCACGGGGCTGAGTTTGACAACGTGGGACCTGTCAGTGCCACTCACTGAGCCTGGAACCACTAACTCCAAAGGGATATGCCCATAGCAATAGCACTAGTATCAAGAGGGGCTACGCCAGCCCATTGTTCCTGGGCGGCCAAGGGGCTCTGCATCAGCCCAGGGACTGGGAAGGGGAACTGCACCAATCCGGGGGATCTCGGGCTGCTGACACCCACAGGGCTGCACCAGCCCATCAGCGCCAACGGGATCCTGCCGACACCTCCCCGTTCCCCAGAGGCCACCCGGGGCCAGAGCTCACCAGGGGATATGGCAGGGGGTGCCGTGCTGCTCCTCCGCCAGCTGCTGCAGCCGCCGCAGGCGCTGGGCCTGGAGGTGGAAGAGGGTCTTGCGGGAAGGCAGCCCCACGTCGCACATGCCCTTGGGGTAGGGGACGCCGAGGCGGGTGCCCTGCCCGCCGGCCAGCAGCAGCGCGGCCACGCGGCTGCCCGCGATCTCCGCCAGCCCTGGGGGAGCACACACGCGTGGGGCCGGCGGCTCCGGCACCGCGCCGCGCCGGGCCCCGCCGCCCCCGCCACCTACCGCGGCTCTCCCAGCGCGGCACCAGCCCGCGGTCGCGGCTGGCGCTGCCCAGCACGTCCCGCGGCACCGGCTCCATCCGCGCGTCAAGCGCCGCCGCCGCTTCGCCGCCGCCGTCCCCGCGGGCGCGGCGGAAGAAGCGGTTGATCTCGGCCACGTCCATGCCGCGCAGCTCGGCCGCCAGCGCCCGGCGGGCTGCGTCGCCCAGCTCCTGCCAGAAGCGCAGCACATGGCCCTGCCCGCCCGCCTCCAACCGCTCCCGCAGCGCCGCCGCGTCCATCCCGTCCGCCGCCTCCATCCCGCCCGCCGCCGCCGCGGGGCCGCCGCGCCCCCGCCGGCATTTTATAGCTCCACGCCGCCGCCGCGCTGCCAATGGCCGCGCCCCGCGCTACGTGATGCCCGCCGCCCGCCCAATAGGCACCGGGGGAGGGGGCAGGACGGCCCGACCCCCTCGCGGCGCCGCCGCCAATGGGAGCGGCCGCTGCGGGGGCGCGCGCCGGAGGCTGCCATGGCAACGCGCGCCACGTCAGCGCACGGCCCCGGCCGGGCCGGAGGGGAGGGGCCCGTAAGGGAAAAAACCCAAATCCACCCGAAAATCCGCGTGCGAGTCCCTGCGGAGGAGGAGCCCCGGGGGAACAGCCCCCTCAGCCCGGGAACCTTGCCGGTCCAAGACCGGTGAGACACCGCTCGTCCCGTTATTCAGAGGGCGCGTGGTGTCACAGACTCATAACATCCCGAGTTGGAAGGGACCCACCGGGACCATCAGTCCAACCCTCAGCCCCGCACAGGACCCTCCCCAAGAGTCGCACCGTGTACCCGAGAGCGTTGTCCCAGCGCTTCCCGAGCTCTGCCGGGCCCAGTGCTGCGACACGGCCCCGGGGCTGTGCCAGCGCGGCCGCAGCCACAGAACCGCCCACGCGGCCCCCCCCGGCGGCTGCGGGACCTTGTGCAACCCGCATCATCTCCCGGGAAGGCTCCTGCGTCACGGAGTGGTTTCCCCCCCGGATGACATCCCCTCGGAAGCCCTTATGCCAGAGCGAGCGAGGAACACGCCCGTGTGAGGTGTCCGTAGGCGGTGCTGCCGCAAGCAGCCGAGCCTCCAGTGACTGGGAGGGGACACGCTGGACTCTGGCCAGGCAGAGGTCACCCCGGCGCTCCTACCGGGGTTTTCAGCCCTGCTGGCGCACAAGGTGAGTAAGTTCCAGCAGCCAGGCATAAATATCACCACCACCATGGCCGGGTCACAGCCCTGTCCCCCCAGACTGGCGCACGGTGACGGAGAACTTGGCCAGCTACGTGTTTTTTCACCATCAGTGCCGCAAGAACAGCACACTGCACAACCACTTCCTACTGAAGCATCGTTTATTAATCACCTGTATC